TCTGTCATGCCACTATACGAGCGCAAATGAAAGTAGTTCCAATCGCCCAAAAACTGCAGGAAAGGAGGCTACAATGGTATGAGCATGTGTGCAGAAGGGAAGAAACTACATTACAGGATACTGGCGGTGGAGACATCAGGCAAGAGACAGAGGTAGGCCCAAGATGAGGTGGTGGAAATCAAGGCCGATTAGTCTGCGAAAACTTATTATAGACTAAGACCTTCTCAGATAGAAAAACATGGGGACATCTGACCTAATAAGCACATGCGAGGATAAGAAAATTGTCATCTTCAGTTTGAATAAGAGCAACTAAGAACAGCTGGCTTTGTAGTGGGGAACAAAAGGTAGCTCACAATCAGTCACCATTGAAAAAATGAATCATGTTTGAAAATGACTTCCCACTTGGGTGGCCCAATATTTGGAAGCTCAGAATTAACTGAAACATGGCCCAAAGGGGTTGTTTGATATGCAACTTACGGAAATTATCTCTTATGTTTTTAAGGCTCCCTTATCATGCTTGGTGTACGTACACGATGGCAGTTCATCAATCATCATCACCAACATCAACATGCTCCGCATACTCCGCGCAGTCTGGCTCAACCCTATAAATGCTAGTCGCATTTATTTTTGCGCCTTTTAGTTTGCTGACGTATCAGAAGTTTTTCCAATCCTGATGCAGTTTTTGATGAGAAAGAACACTTATGTATTCGACTTCTTCAAATTAAAAATGGCGATGTCGAGATGTCAGTCAGATGAGAAATTGCTAATTACGTTGTCCAGCTAAAGCAGTTTCAGATGCAATGGCCGTGAGCAATGTGCGCAGGTTGGGAAAGGATTACCTCCACTAGGTATCTTCCACGGATTGTTGGTCCTAACACGATATGCATTAGCACGTGCGAAAGAATGTGATGCGCGGAGGCGGCATCCAGTAGAGGATTCGTTCTTCTATCCATGCACACAGTCTAGCCCGCAGTGAACAGTCTAGCCCGCAGTGAAATTGATAATCGGCAGGTTTTGGAGGCGTCATATTGGACTTTTTGAATCGTTTTTTTGCTTGAGAAGCGCAATAGTGAGATGCCATTTGGTCAAGAGTATCAAGCGCGCCCTTTCGCCACCTCTGTCTCTCTCGTCAAGTCTTACTTGGCCGGGCTTTGCCTTCAATCAAAATTATTATCAAGTTTTGGAGAACTCGAATACGGAAACACATGATTCACATGAATCTTTTATTACAAAACAACTGTAATTATTCAATGAACGATGATTATACTTGAGAACCCTTATTAGTCTGCACTCGCCTAAAGTGAAAGTATTTATTGATGATTGATGTTGTAAACTGTAAAGGTTATGGCAAATGACGTTCTGATTTCTGAATAGTTGTAAGAACACAGATTACTCAGAAGTCAAGAAGAAGAATTTCTATTTTTGCCTATTATAAAAACTGAAGCTCGCCTGATCGCTCGTTCCAGAGCCGAATTTCCGTGATCTTCTTGGCGAAACCGCAGTCCTTCTCCGTCCTTTTCGCGGGGACTTTGCCGGTGGAAGAACAGTGCGGGTGACTGGCTGTACCGGCTTAGGTGATGGCTGGCCTAACGTCAAGCCCATCTCCGGCTTTGAGCGTGGTAGCGTCCCGCTTAAAATAGGCGTCTCGCGCGGATCGAGAGGAGAAGGCTGCGAAAAGGCTGGCGAGGGAAGCACAGCGGTACGGTTTCGACTGCTCGTCGTTTCTTGTGTAGCTGACACAGGCAAAGAGGTGGTGCCCATGCAAGAAATTGTGCTTCCGACCTGAAACTCAGACCATTACAAGGGTAATATACGCATTGCACAAATACAACTCCAGTGGCTGCGCTGGACTTTAGCTGGAATGCGGGTACAGCTCCTATTTCTGTAATCACGTTGATACAACGGTATGATCTGCAAATAAAATCTATGTAAAACTTACTTCGATCGCCAGTCACGCTTTTTCCAGACTCGGCATAAGGAGGAGGTGCACCGAGAGGAATTTTCAGCACTTCCACCGCAAGTTTTTCTTTCTGAAGATACCGCGTAAATCAATGGCATAATTAAAATTTCCTTACTGCTTCCTTTTCCTTTATATCAGGCCTTTTCACATCGAGTTCAAGCATGACCTTCTTTGATGGGAAAGAGCGATTCAGTGTATGACGGCTAGTAGACAATTTTTACGATGTACAGTAATGAAAAGCTAATTACCATTCGTCAGGAACTCTCCTCGACCTGCGTTTTTTCTTCTCATCTTCATCTTTCTTTTGGATTACCACGGCTGTTGGAAGCGGTGGAGGCTAAATCGGTCACATATGCCATCCTGATTAACCTCTCCAATTCGACCTACAAGTGGCCTTTTGGATGGGCTACCACAAATCATCTCAAGGATATATAGAATAATCAACAGCAATGAGAGCAGTAGGGCAATCTGAAATAGAACAGTGATTTTCGGTACTGTTGGCTCAATGAAGTAGGCGTAAATGTGAGAACTAGAAGCCAAGTCTTCAGTCGTATGAGAAAACCCTCCAAGTTCAAGAAACTAAACTCTGCACCAATGTCCAGCAATTCGAGCTAAATTCGCATCACAATCAAATTCACGCACATGATCTCGGGCGTCTTCACGCGAATTCTTCATTACGGAATTTGGCGATTTGTCAGATGCCTTCAAGTCAAACACTAATGAACTACTGAAATTTTGAGTGCTGTGATTCACTTGTGTTGTTGTAATGTCTTTATTGTGAATCGATCTTTAGGTTCTGCTTCAAGTTTTTGGTTCTAACTCTGTTCTCATGCATTTCTCGGCTATTTCCCGCGGAATGTTCCAGTGCCTGGCACTCAGCGACGCTTATTGTACACATAGCTATTATTATCTAGTTCATAGTTATGCTTTGACCATACATTATCAGTGTTACTCGTGTTACCATTGTTGCTCCTGCGACTAGTGTTACTAATGTTACTAGTGTTACCGTTTTTATAACTGCTGAGTTGTGAAATGATCGCCAATATATTACCAATCATTTCACTGCTCAACAGCTATAAAAGCTAACATTAGTAACATTAGTAACACCAGCAACACCTAACACTAGTGACTGGTAACATTAGTAACACAAGTAACAGTGATAACACGGTGGGTAACACAAGCAGCAGTAGTAACACTTATAACACTAACACTGTAATGTGTGCCTTAGATTCGATCAGCCGTTAGGATTCCTTCGTACTAAGCCGCGCACGCCGCGTACGCCGCTGCAGCGCAATGTATGC